GTGAGGATGGGAGAGATAAAACTGAAGGATGGCAGTCTAAGAGAATTAAACACCTTCACCATGGTAGAAAAACAAAAGGCCAGGTCTAAAATGTACGAAATAAATGTAATAGAATATACATGTTGTTTAGAAATCTGGAAACTGTCAAAGATGTTGGGACAAATAGCTACACGTCAAAAAGGAAGGGAGCTGGGAGAAGTGTGAAAGGATAGAGCAGGACAACACTTAGTTTGTTAGGGATCTGTTAGTACTATTTGATTTTTTAAACTTTAAAAAATGATTTAAAAACAAAATAGCAGAAATGAGGGATCCCTTTTAAAAGCAAATGAAATTATAGTTAAGAAATGTGCAATTCACTAAAATGGGCACCGAACCAAAAAAAACAAACCCACTGCCACCAAGTCAATTCTGACTCATAGTGACCCTAGAGAACAAAATATAATTGCCCCATGGAGTTTCCAATGTTGTAAATCTTTACGGAAGCAGGCTGCCGCATCTCTCTTCCATGGAGTGGCTGGTGGGCTTGAACCGCAATCTTTTGGTTAGCAGCTTAATGCTTTATTTAACCACAGCATCGCCAGAGCTCTTAAATATGCACATTCACCTATTAATTTGATAAAGTAAAATTTAATTTAAAAAAGAAAAGGAGAACTGAAGATACAGACTTGTCAAGGCACCACTGAGTGTGGCAATTTAGTTTGGAGTCCTTGTTAAAATGAGTGAAAGAGATAGGGGAGGGTGGAGAGAGGAAGGGAGGGAGGAAGAGAGGAAGGGAGGGAGGGAAGAAGGAGGGAGGGAAGGTGCATAGCCTGAGCGAGTCCGGGATCTGGGTGTCTGTGTGATGAGACAGGGAGGGATGGTAAGAGGGGCTGCTCCACAGCAGAAGCTGGATGTGCAGGTCTGATGTGGATGGTGTGGAATCAGCTCATTCATTACTCGCTTTCCATGCATTCAAAGAAGTAATCTAATTGTGGATTTCTTTATCTGTGGTACTCACTTTAGTTGTAATGGCCAGTATTTAGTAAATTGCTAGTTGTGATCATATATATCCTGTATTTCACATTAGAAATCCAAGGCTAGACATCACTATTGCTGTTCAAATCTTTTTTGGAGTCACGCAGGTTATATACCAAAGAACGTCCAAATTCTCTGAGGCTCTACAAACTGCCACTGAATGTACTTATTCAGTGTATGTCTCCTCAACACTTCATTCATTCTAAGTTCAGCTAAGTAGGATTACTTGTTTTTACCACTAAATGCTCTGGATTTTCTCACATTTATACATTTATTCTTACTGTCCTCTTTACTTGGCTACCCTTCTCCCCAAACCCTTTGTGTCCAAATTCCACCCCTGTCCTTTCCAAAGTTCTTTCCACGGTCTTCCCTGGTCCCACCCCTGCCACAGGCAATCTACCCTCTTCTGAATGTCCATGGTGCTTTGTCTCTACCTCTCCGAGGAGAGTCTGGCTTTCTGTCATACACCACTGAGGTTCACATCCAAGCTCACTATTAGGTGGC